TGTTGTTGTTGAATGAGACCCGGAGGAGGGAAGGGGGTCAAAACTGTGCGAGTCCGTAATGGAGAAGGTGCACCCCAGGTGCTAAGTGAAAAGAGCTAGACCTGGGCTCCTGAGTCTGGTATATAGATAAAATGTTAAAGACACACTCTTTATCCCCACAGACTCTGACAAAGGACTGACAGCCCATGGGCCTTTACGGTCCGCAATCCCATGTTAGTTGGCCCATTTAGGGACATCTGGATTTGTAGCTGCTGCTTTTTGTTTTTTTAATTGGGGTGTAGCTGCTTTACTTCTGAAACATCAGCCTACGTGATTGTGGGTGGCAATCCTGCAGGACCTCAACCAGGAGCAGGGTGGCAGCCGCCCCTTTAGACGGTACAGCAAACAAACACCCTGCGCTATGCCACTTGCCTGGCCTATAAACACATTTGAATTTACAACTTCTGGGATGTGGTTTAAGTTTTTAAAAAGTAACAACAACAAAAGCAATCCTATTCATGGCAGAAGAACCCTACTTAAGTCAGAAAGAATTAAAACATTTATTGGGCATAAATATATTACATATACACTACAGATACAGTTAGGTATTACATATAGCATAGTATTTGCAAAATCTATACATTAAAATTGATATGGCAGTTTTAATACAATGTATATGAAATAGTCTAAAATTTACAGGAAAACATATGATTATTTTTTTTTTTTCTCCTAAAGTTGAAAAGCTTGGAATGTATGTCCAACAGTGAGGTAAAACATTTTGTCTTTCAATTTAAAGAACTGTGCAAGGATAACATTCAAACACATGCAGTTAGGGCACTTTTCAATTTTGACAGGAATACTGAATTACTGTAGCCAACAAAACACGGTTAGAAAATGCCAACGTTTCAAGTTGATAAGAACAAGGCAGGTAATATTCAAAAAATCTTTTTAAAAAGTTGTTTTCTTTTTAAACAATTTCTTTGAGGACAAAGGGCATTTTGCTTCACATGACTGGAATTTTCTTGTGCCAGGGAGGAGTTTGACATATAGAGCATCAGAAAGCCACTCACTCGTTCCTACATATTACAAAAGGGCAAAGAGAGAAGGTTAACATAACACTTTATTTTATTGTTCATGTGTAATGGCAATACATATATAGTTATATCAATATCACATATACATATCTGTGATAGAAAACAGTGCCAGATAGTGTAATAACTTTTTGACTGAAGGGATTATAATGATGCCGAATAAGGGAGAGCAATAAAATAAAGTGCCGTCAGCTAGTGTTTCACACACAACAGCTTTCTGGTGGTTAAACAGATAGCATGAAAATCTCAAAGATCAAATATTCATAGCAATTTTGGCTTAAAGTATTATTTCATTAAAAAAAAAATCCAACCAATTCAGAGAACTTCTTTATAGCAGCAGTTCTGAAGTGTTTCCAAAAAAGGGACTTATTTTTTTCTCCTGCAGACAGGGTTCTCGTACTCAGTTGAATCTTCATTGCTTAAAAAATGCCTTCTCCCCAAAACACCTGCATGAGATTGTTTCAGAAAATGCAGATGCAGCGTTACAGTGGATCATAATACACATTTAAATAGAGGGATGAGTTACGCAAGGCCAGAACTTTGGCAAAATAATTTCATCTTGATGCCATCAGTTTGCAAGGCTAATTAAACTAATTATTCTAGTCAATAACAAAATACAGAACTTTCTAGTAGTACTTATTACATCAACGTAGGCACACAGAATAATTCATTGATCTTAGCACTTTCTTTCAAGAGATGATTATGTTTTTCTTGGGTACATGTAAACGTTTCAATCGCTGACAATGGATTTTTTTTGGCATTTAATGCACTAGATACTCTTTATCTTTAAAAACACAAGAAAATGTCAGAAGAATGACAATACTACAGATGTTGCCAAGGAACGAGACTGACCTAAAATTACAAAAGTATAAAACACAAAAAAATAACATGCTACAAGGGAAAATTAGTACATAAGTACATTTAAAAAATTTTACAATAAATAAAGATTGCACTGTAATTGGCATTTAAAGTACTGTATGCAGAATATAGTATAAATAAACCAAAAACAAAATAATGTTGGTTTCCCCATGACTTTGGTATGGGAATATTATAAGCTAGTACAGGATACTGCATTTTAAGACAACACAGACCAAGCACAAAATAGCTATGATCAAGAAAAACCAAGTAGCAAAAATATACAAAAACAGAAGCAGGGGGATACACTGTGTCTGTTGCACCCTTTTGGAATATATTTGCACCTCCAACTCTTAAATGTCCCTGAGGTACGCGAACATTATGGACTTCATATAAATAATCCAATGACTTTGGGTTAAAATTGATTATCTCATGACTCAGAATAAACATGCAAGAGTAACACTTTGCACTCCAATAGCACCTATAGATCAAGGATCTCAAAGCACTTGCGAACATTAGAATCCCCATTTTATTTTTTATTTTTAATGCATGGGAAAACTGAGGCACAGAGAGGTAAAGTGACGTGTTCAGATCACGCAGCAAGTTAGTGACAGATCCAGGGAGATAATCTAGGCTCCTTGACCCCCAAACACCCTGTGCTTATTACCACCAAATACCATTCCCTCTCCACACATGGCCAGGTCAACCCCACAAGAACAGGAACTACAAATTGAGATGACTCTTTTGGGCTTTATCAATTTTCACCTGCTGTTAGATTAGTATTATGTGCACTGAATTAAGCTATTGAAATTCAATCACTTCTTTGATACTTCACTGAATAGCCTAAAGGCAAATTTTTCAAAAATAATGAGCTGATGTGTAAGAAGATTGATCACAATTAGTGTAAGTCATGGACAATGGGCAGAGGCACTAAACTGTCACCAGTTCTCGTCATATAATTCTGGTCAAACATAACAATATAATAACTCTAGTGATTAGATCAGAAGTAGTTATATACAAAGACAGACAGACAAGTTAAAGCAGCTTTTAAAATAGCTGAACAAGGAAACTAACTATTGCACAATGCCCTCGAAAAGTTACTGCTATGAATTGATGTGGTACAATCTACAATGCTCCATAATTTATAGATGCATTTTGGTTACTTGATTTCTTAGACAGGCAGCTCATAGTGTTAAAATCATAAGAAATACAGATTACTAAAACATTTTAAAGTACACATTTTGATCTCAATGAGCTAAACACAGTTAAATAACTGAGTGACAAAATGGTTGTTTAGGGCAGCCTTATCTGAGTGAACACATCTTCTGTGTGTGGTTGTGTGGTGATACTCTGAGAACACTGAAATCCTAGCCCTGTAACTACACACACTGTGATTCATGTTCACAGGTACAGATGATCAAGACATAAGAAGTGACAGGTGAATATAAATTACTAAATGGTGACATGGAAAAAAAAAAATCAAAGGCTTGCAAAAGACATCAGTGAAAACAGAATAAAGGCAAATCTGAAAAATTTAAAAGAAAACGTAAGCTAGCTTTAGCTTTTGGTATCTGGTTTGTTTCTTTTTTTTTTTTTTTTTTTTAAATCCAGTTTAACCTCTTCCTAGTTTTGCATTTCAAAAAGGTGCACCAAAACACTGATATTTTTTTTCCTAGCTAAATCTGTAAAACAAGTATATAAATCAAAGAACAAAAGGGCTTAAAAAGGGGAGTATCTGAATAAATGTGTGTATTAAAATGTGTAGCATTAATTAAATTCATACCTCTAGTTTTGCTGGGTTTGTTTACTTCATTAAGAAGTACTGTAATATAAAGGCAAATAAAATGGACAAAGTTGCAAAGCCAACCACAATGAGGGCTGCAAACTGTTCATCAGTAGGCATCATGCTCTTCATTTTGGGATCATCTAAGCTCCCCATGTCCCCTGTAAGCATGACCTCACTTCGTTGTAGTACAAAAGCCGCAGAGGGGCTGAAAGCTCCGCTTAGCTCCTGAGAGGTGTCTAAACAGCGACGACACGCACACACGCGGAACCTATAGTCTGTGTTGGTCTGGAGGCCTGAGATTTGGAATGTGGCTTCTTCTCCCTTGTACACCTTCAAGAAAAAGAAAAGTCCCGGTCAATAAATTTATAACAACACTGTGGTCTCTAAAGTAATAACTGTATAACATCGGGGGCCTTGTAGACCTGGCTTGGTCTATGTGAACTCTGCAACAACAAAGAGTACATGGAAAGGCATTTGTCCCAGTCTATATTTCACCTGTAAAGTATTCTGACCTACTCTGAATAAAATAAAATAAATTCAGTGACTCTGCTATTGACAGGAGATAAGGCACTGACCAGAAATACAGGTGATACAAGTAATGATGATGCATCTAGCTAAATTTTAATAATTTAGGCTATAAATCAGCAGATGACTTAATTCATACAAAGGGCTCTCTGATCTTGCTGCAAAGAATATTAAAAACAAATTATAGAAATAAAGTGCAAAGTCTCAGTTGAATGGTCCTTTGACTACTGACTACACCATTTAACACTACTCCATCAAGATAGCCCACCTCCACCCCTAAGAGGTAAGAACTCTTCTGACTTCTCATTCTGTAATTTGTTTGGCCTACTCTAGAAGTTCATGCAAATGCAATCAAACACTACGCACTCTCTTGTGCCTACGAGGTTCATCCATGTAATCGATTCAGTAGTTGTTCCTTTTACTGAAGAATAAGTACTCTATCATATGCCTATACTTTGATGTATCCATTTGCTTTCTGACAAATATTTGCATTGTTTCCAGTTTGGAGTTTTTATATAGTAAGAGTACTATGAACATTTTTGTACAGATCTTGAGGACTTAAGTTTCTCTTTTTCTTGGGTGAATACCTAGAAGGGCTGGGTATAAGTCTACATCTAACTGCATGAGAAAGCTGTCCCAAGCACATCCCTTTGCACTCCTGCCAGCTAAGCATGAGAGTTCCAGTTGTTCCACACCCTCACCAACATTTGTTACTGTCAGTCATTTATATTTTAGTCACGCAAATGGGTGAGAATGGTACCTCAGTTGCATTTCCCTGATGCCTAAGTGTTTCCCACCTTTTCAGATGCTCATTTGGTCACTCACATACCTTCTTTTGTGAGGAGTGTGTGTTCAGCTGTTTTGCCTATTTTTAATTTGTTTGCTTTTACTTGTAGTGGCGCCTTAATCTGGATGTAAGTTCTTTGTCAGGTATGTGTTGTGAATATTCTCTCCCAGTTTTGTGTCTTCCCTAATCATTTCTTAAGAAAATTTTTGATGCAGTCCTATTTATCACAAATTAATATTTAATTAATTTAATGGTCTGTCTTAAATGTTTCCTGTCTGTTTGACCAACTTGTCCTTTTTCCGTTAAGAATCTAGGATATTTTCTTCCCCTTTGTTAACACTGATATAATCACCATGAGGCTTCCTACTATGAGGACTTTAAATCTACCAGTTTACTTAGCGATTATAAACCTTTGAGTTGACTGAAGAAAATAGGTATCTTTGAGGGAAGGTGGTAGAGGGAGAGCGCACGTGGTTCTTCAATCAAAGTGGTACTGATCCTCAAAATACTCAGAGGAAATGATAACCGCCTTAAAATTACATAAAAATCCATGTCTTATATGAAATAGAGATAGGAAGAAACTAGCTGGAACTCAACCAAATCAGTAAAGAGATTCGGCTGATGAAATAATTAAACAAGAAATTAAAATTAACTGAACACTTTGTAGCTGAGTGGCACTGAGTTAGCCTCTGTAAAGTGCTTAAGACATGCCTGGTACATGGGTAAGTGCAGAGAAAAAGTTAGCTATTATTACTACTACTACTATTTAGAACTTTAAAACAACTCCAAATATATTCTTAAAATACAGTGATTAAAAGTGACAGGGGCATTTTCAACCTAGTGGCAGGCCACCTTAAGTAAAGATGTGAATTTTGCCCATTAATACCAATTCCCTAGAAAATAGAGTATTTCCAACAATTTCAACTTTGTCTGAAATACTCTCCAGCTATAGAGAGCTAGTGGGAATCTACAAAGATTCAGTGTTTCTAAAGCCTGGCACGTAAACTTCTACAAGAAGCAGGACATGGTACCAGAGAACCTAAGTGCGCTGGCCACTCACTTAGCGTTGAGCAAACAAAGACAGCAAGAGGATCACAGTTTAGAAAAGGGATCGGACTTCCAGTGCTCACCTGATAGTCAGCCTTTTTAAGATTTTTCCTCCCCCATTTTCGAACTTTAGAAGTAGACTTGAAGAGTCTTACTGTATTTTCGTTTAGTGATTAAGCCCCAGAAAACCCATTCTATTTCTCATATATTCCTCTATAAGATTTGAAGCACATTCCTCCTGGTGAGTTACTCTGTTTCTTTAAAGATTGTGGCATGTGTCTTAGCAAGTGGGGTTACAGACAGAACTGGGCGGGAGCAACCAAGAACAAAAGAGCTGTAAGAAAACCCCCAGCCATCCTGAGAGACCACTCCTTTCTGGTCGGTCATTGTTCCAATGATGAGTTAGTTAAATGGCTATTTTAAGACGAGCTTGTTGTCATGGTGACTGCCCCAAGCTATTCAGGAGTTCGGACTACACCATGAGAGCACTGTCTATGAATTATCTCCCAACATGTGGGTGGTCTCAGGAAAACAATGGTGTACGCTTTTTTTTTCTTTAAAGAGACCTTTTCATTGTGAATGTTCTTAATTTCCCAAATTTAGATGCTCAAGTTGGTATTGTCTTTTCTTCGAAACTGTTGGGACCATTCACGAAGGGAATGATTTGCAGCCTTTGGGAACAGCATACTACCAATCCTTTGCCATCTGAGCTTCGGGTTCCTGTCTGCAATGGCCCAGGTATACAATCTGTTCTGTCTCTATGGTGGTGATAAGTTAATGTCAGGCTGTTGATGGAGTTGGAGAAAAGCTGCCATCTACGCCTTAGCTGCAAGGTTTCTCGATACACCTCTTTCGTCAATTCTTTTGGAGGCCTCACCTCTTGAATGTTTACCCTTATCAAAGGGTGAAATATTGTAGCTGCTGGAGCTCTTCTGTGCAACCCCAGGGAACTGGGTCTAGTCTGACTTGGCCACTGGGAGGCACTGGGCAGCTTCTTCTCAATGGCAGGACCAGGAACTGGCATCAGGATTCCAGGTCTACGTCCTTGCTCTGACCCTTTCTAGGTTTGTCACCTCGGGCAAGTAACAGCTTTGAGCCTTATTTTTTTTCATCTTTAACCTGGGGACAGTTACAGTACCTAACGTTAACCCCAAGAGGGATTGAGTATTAAGTGAGAAACTATGTGAAAAATGCTTTGTGAAAGGAATATACTGGAGATAAGTCATCTTTATCAAATTTAATCCTCCTGATTACTCTGGCAGGTATTACTCCCATTTTAGAGATGATAAAACTGAGGATCAGAAAGCTGTTAATTTCTCAAGGTCTCAGGTGAATAAGGGTAGTGGTAGACCCCAGACGAGATCCCACATCTAACTCAAACACCCCTGCTCACCACTGGAACTGCTCCAGCTCCACTGGTTCCACGTCTTTGGTGGAACCCGTCCTCCCCACTTCAGTCCTCATCCACTGACTACGGTGTGATACCAGGTCCACTTCTCTTGACCTTCTGACTTTGTCTTCCCAGGGAGTCCCACAGCCTCCCTGGTGTTTCCACGAAACACTTCCAGATCACCCCACCCTGGGTCCACTGCCCCAGAAGGAAAGCACTGCCTTTCCTATATGATGTATGGAAAGCAGCTCCCCAACCCAGTCTGTGCCAAGGAAAGGCTTGGGCAGCATTTCTGTGACGTGGCCTCTTAATTATGCCAAACAATGACCTCATGGCTGAAAATCACTTAATTCATAACCTATCCCTACAGATGTTTGAGAGACTTTTGGAAAGTACATATAAATGTTCATTTATATGTAGTATTAAATGATTTCTATGGTTTCCAGGATTTGCATGGCTAGCTCCTTCTAAGAAAGTTGGCTCAGAAGTATATTTAATTTCCCAGAAACCCAATTCATGGAATCTTGAACATCGACTTTATATGTTAATTTTGATGGTACTTCCCAACTCTTAACTCCTTAAAGATCCCTAAAAATGTATTGATATTTTGAAAGCAAAGGAGTGCTACTGTTCTCATAACCATTAAGCAAAAAGCTTAGTGAAGGAAAAATGAACATCTAATGGAAGGGAACTTCCTCAATGACAAGTCCAATTGAAAGCTGGGCTTTAATTTGTAAATATGTTTTTCTTTTAGCTATTCTTATTGTTTTAATTAGAAGCGCTCCCCTTTTTCACAAGCACTGTCAACACAATGTTAATATTATCTTTAAAAGTATATATATGATGAATATATTGAGTGTGGGACTGTGTTCTATTATCTCCAGAGCAACCAGCACAATGGCTATTAACAAAGCAGGTGCTCAGTGAATGCTCTCTAATTAGAACCCTTAAATACTTGAGAGGAGATATGCTTATACCACACTACTTGAAAAGAGAGGAAAATTACCAGCAGCAAGTACATGTGAACATTAAGTATCAGAACCCGCACACAAACCACAGGGTTTAGAACAGGTACAGCCGTGATTATACAAAATGGAATCGTTAACAAGGATTGAGTTGTTTTCAGTGTATTGATAGTAGTCAACAATGCTTATTAAGCCTTTTGGATCTTAGTTAAGGAAAAATTAAAACAATCCCAATACTCCATTTCCTGAGGATTCTGGTTCCTGAGGTTTGAGATAACTGATTTGTTTTTGTGTAAATAATCACAGCCACGAGATCGCAAAATCAGTAAGGTCATCAGGCCTGCAGCACAGCTGAGGTGACTTTTCATGGGACTGTGCCTCTCACCGTGGCAGGGCAGCAGGCCATGCCTCTTACCCCTTTGTTTTCATTCATTTTGACAGGGGCACCATTACAGGCTCTTCCTCCTGCCTCAACCCAATTTAAAAGGCATAGTTCCATTTAAGATTATCTTTATTGAAGTAACCAATCATAATATCACAGTAAGTATACAAGCAATATTATTTTTACAAAGACTATTTCTGTCCTTGATTTGATGTGCAATATGTTTTAAAGTAATTTTGACATGTTTGTTCCAAATGAGAGGATTTAAAGTAATACCCAGATAATCGAAATGAAGAATCAGTGACGCTTAATTCAGAGTAACATGCTGTGTAGTTGAAATCTTTGAAACAGAGAGCCTTTGGGGGAGGCTGCTGGAGGCTGGGATCTGGGTCAAGGCCTGCATCTCTTTACTAATGCCATCCTTCTCCCAGGAACTGGAAAGGGAGACATAACTGCCCAGCATTGCCATCTACACAGCGCCCTCTCATGACTGAACAGATCTGACGCTCACAGTAACCCTGAGGTAGAGAATTAGTATCTCCACTTCGACAAGACAGCTGAGGCTCAGAGACGTGAATTAATTCCTCCAATATCACATGACTACAAAAGGCAGATTTCACCTCCCTTGCCCCCCAGCTACAGTGGGAATTCACTACCCTGCAGACTTCCTCTGTAGAGGGTGCAATGCTGGGCAGGAATTGTTGCTCCTGAGCCAGAGGACAGGCCAAGGTACTGTTACTGAGCTGCTTCTTGGGGGCACGCTGCTTCTACCCCAGTGGGCCCAGAAGCTCTGAGAGCACAGACTATGCTGTTCTGTTATATGCCAGGCAGCCCTCACAGTGCACAGCACCTACCAGTTTCCCAATGAACCAGGGGCCCTACACCTGAACGCCATGAAACTGAATATAAATTTGTTTCATATGCAATTTAAAATGGATGTGTGCATGAATATTTTTCTGATAGAACGGGTCATATCCTGCATCAGATACTTAAACGGACCTATAAACCTAAAAAACTTAAGAAGACTCAGCAAGATAAATGATAGCTTTTAGATATTCCCACCTTGATCTATTCTTACTTTGCTTGGGATCTGACCCTTTATTTATACAAAGATGAAGAAAATGTGCAATAAGACGGTCACAGCCTATTTAACTTCTGTGTTAGGGAATTAAATCACAAACTATTAAAAAAATATGTAGGCTCCAAGTCCTTAAAATAGTTCTCTCAAGGTCAAGAGAAGAGCTTTCTTCCCAGTAACTTGTGTGATACCACGAAGAATCAATACACATCCCAATACTATATTCTAAAAATGATACAAAATAAATTTATACAGAGATGCCATTAAGTTAAATGTGGAGCTCTATAAATTTTCAGATTCTTCGAAGGTTTTCATAATGCAACAAATCTGAGCACCAACAATATTAATAATTTGTCACAAATTTTGACTCCCAATAGGTAATAATTTCTTGCAGTTTGCTACCCTTTTCTCATCTTCAGTGTTTATATTTAAATACTTTATGTAAAAATTATTGCTGTCTGAACAGGGATATGAATGTGAATCATTTCGCTTTACATTCTTACGTATATATTAAACTGTTTATGTTATGTCTCGTGAGGCAAAAAAAATCAGTCACCTGCATATACATACAATTTTCATTCTTTTTAAGAATGCTTTACGGACCTCGGGGGAAGATGATGGAAGAGTAAGGCACGGAGATCACCTTCCTCCCCACAGATACACCAGAAATACATCTACACGTGGAACAACTCCTACAGACCACCTACTGAACGCTGGCAGAAGACCTCAGACATCCCAAAAGGCAAGAAACTCCCCACGTACCTGGGGAGGGCAAAAGAAAAAAAGAAAAAACAGAGACAAAAGAATAGGGACGCGACCTGCACCAGTGGGAGGGAGCCGTGAAGGAGGAAAGGTTTCCACACACTAGAAGCCCCTTCGCGGGCGGAGACTGCGGGAGGTGGAGGGGGGAGATTCGGGGCCGCGGAGGAGAGCACAACAACAGGGGTGCGGAGGGCAAAGCGGAGATTCCCACACAGAGGATCAGGGCTGACCGGCACTCACCAGCCCGAGAGGCTTGTCTGCTCACCCGCCAGGGCGGGCGGGTCTGCGAGTTGAGGCTCCGGCTTTAGTCGGAGCGCAGGGAGAGGACGGGGGTTGGCTGCGTGAACACAGCCTGAAGGGGTTAGTGCACCACGGCTAGCTGGGAGGGAGTCCGGGAAAAGGTCTGGAGCAGCCGAAGAGGCAAGAGACTTTTTCTTCCCTCTTTGTTTCCTGGTGCACGAGGAGAGGGGATTAAAAGCGCTGCTTAAAGGAACTCCAGAGACGCGCGCGAGCCACGGCTAAAAGCTCGGACCCCAGAGACAGGCGGGAGACGGTAAGGCTGCTGCTGCCGCCACCAAGGGGCCTGTGTGCGAGCACAGGTCACTATCCACACCCCTCTTCCGGGGAGCCTGTGCAGCCCGCCACCACCAGGTTCCCGGGATCCAGGGACAACTACCCTGGGAGAACGCACGGCGTGCCGCAGGCCCGCCCCGCACTCCGCGCCCCTCCCTCTCCCCGGCCTGAGTGAGCCAGAGCCCCCGAATCAGCGGCTCCTTTAACCCCATCCCGTCTGAGCAAAAAACAGACGCCCTCCAGATGCCCTCCAGCGACCTACACGCAGAGGCGGGGCCAAATCCAAAGCTGAGCCCCTGGGAGCTGTGAGAACAAAGAAGAGAAAAGGAAATCTCTCCCAGCAGCCTCAGAAGCAGCGGATTAAAGCTCCACAATCAACTTGATGTACCCTGCATCTGTGGAATACCTGAATAGACAACGAATCATCCCAAATTGAGGAGGTGGACTTTGAGAGCAAGAGTTAAGATTTTTTCCCCTTTTCCTCTTTTTGTGAGTGTGTATGCTTCTGTGTGAGATTTTGTCTGTATAGCTTTGCTTCCACCATTTGTCCTAAGGTTCTATCCATCCGTTTTTCTTTTCCTTCCTTCCCTCCTTCCTTCCTCCCTCCCTCCTTTTCCTTCTTCCTTCCTTCCCTCCTTTCTTTCTTTCTTCCTACTTCTACTAATTCTATCTCTCTATATTTTCTCCCTTTTATTCCGAGCCGTGTGGATGAAAGGCTCTTGGTGCTGCAGCCAGGAGTCAGTGCTGTGCCTCTGAGGTGGGAGAGCCAACTTCAGGACACTGGTCCACAAGAGACCTCCCAGCTCCACATAATATCAAATGGCGAAAATCTCCCAGAGATCTCCATCTCAACACCAGCACCCAACTTCACTCAACGACCAGCAAGCTACAGTGCTGGACAACCTATGCCAAACAACTAGCATAACAGGAACACAACCCCACCCATTAGCAGAGAGGCTGCCTAAAATCATAATAAGTCCACAGACACCCCAAAACACACCAGCAGACGTGGACCTGCCCACCAGAGAGACAAGATCCAGCCTCATCCACCAGAACACAGGCACTAGTCCCCTCCACCACGAAGCCTACACAACCCACTGAACAAACCTTAGCCACTGGTGACAGACACCAAAATCAACAGGAACTACGAACCTGCAGCCTGCAAAAAGGAGACTCCAAGCACAGTAAGATAAGCAAAATGAGAAGACAGAAAAACACACAGCAGATGAAGGAGCAAGATAAAAACCCACCAGACCTAATAAATGAAGAGGAAATAGGCAGTCTACCTGAAAAATAATTCAGAATAATGATAGTAAAGATGATCCAAAATCTTGGAAATAGAATAGACAAAATGCAAGAAACATTTAACAAGGACCTAGAAGAACTAAAGATGAAACAAACAATGATGAACAACACAATAAATGAAATGAAAAATACTCTAGATGGGATCAATAGCAGAATAACTGAGGCAGAAGAACGGATAAGTGACCTGGAAGATAAAATAGTGGAAATAACTAATGCAGAGCAGAATAAAGAAAAAAGAATGAAAAGAACTGAAGACAGTCTCAGAGACCTCTGGGACAACATTAAACGCACCAACGTTCGAATTATAGGGGTTCCAGAAGAAGAAGAGAAAAAGAAAGGGACTGAGAAAATATTTAAAGAGATTACAGTTGAAAACTTCCCTAATGTGGGAAAGGAAATAGTTAATCAAGTCCAGGAAGCACAGAGAGTCCCATACAGGATAAATCCAAGGAAACATATGCCAAGACACATATTAATCAAACTGTCAAAAATTAAATACAAAGAAAGCATATTAAAAGCAGCAAGAGAAAAACAAATAACACAAGGGAATCCCCATAAGGTTAACTGCTGATCTTTCAGCAGAAACTCTGCAAACCAGAAGGGAGTGGCAGGACGTAATTAAAGTGATGAAGGAGAAAAACCTACAACCAAGATTACTCAGCAAGGATCTCATTCAGATCTGATGGAGAAATTAAAACCTTTACAGACAAGCAAAAGCTGAGAGCGTTCACCACCACCAAACCAGCTTTACAACAAATGCTAAAAGAACTTCTCTAGGCAAGAAACGCAAGAGAAGGAAAAGACCTACAATAACGAACCAAAAACAATTTAGAAAATGGGAATAGGAACATACATATCAATAATTACCTTAAATGTAAATGGACTAAATGCTCCCACCAAAAGACACAGATTGGCTGAATGGATGCAAAAACAAGACCCATATATATGCTGTCTACAAGAGACCCACTTCAGACCTAAAGACACATACAGACGGAAAGTAAGGGGATGGAAAAAGATATTCCATGCAGATGGACGCCAAAAGAAAGCTGGAGTAGCAATTCTCATATCAGACAAAATAGACTTTAAAATAAAGACTATTAGAAGAGACAAAGAAGGAAACTACATAATGATCAAGGGATCGATCCAAGAAGAAGATATAACAATTTTAAGTATTTATGCACCCAACATAGGAGCACCTCAATACATAAGGCAAATACTAACAGCCATAAAAGGGGAACTCGACAGTAACACATTCATAGTAGGGGACTTTAACACCCCACTTTCACCAATGGACAGATCATCCAAAATGAAAATAAATAAGGAAACACAAGCTTTAAATGATACATTAAACAAGATGGACTTCACTGATATTTATAGGACAGTCCATCCAAAAACAACAGAATACACATTTTTCTCAAGTGCTCATGGAACATTCACAGGATAGAGCATCTCTTGGGTCACAAATCAAGCCTTGGTAAATTTAAGAAAATTGAAATTGTTTCAAGTATCTTTGCTGACCACAACAACATGAGACTATATATCAATTACAGGAAAAGATCTGTAAAAAATACAAACACATGGAGGCTAAACAATACTTAATAACAAAGTGATCACTGAAGAAATCAAAGAGGAAATAAAAAAAATACCTAGAAACAAATGACAATGGAGACACGACAACCCAAAACCTATGGGTTGCAGCAAAAGCAGTTCTAAGAGGGAAGTTTATAGCAATACAAGCCCACCTTAAGAAACAGGAAACATCTTGAATAAACAACCTAACCTTGCACCTAAAGCAATTAGAGAAAGAAGAACAAAAACAC